CAGCAACTGTCTTATTATTTATTTTTTGATTAGTGCAAGCAAAAAGTGGGATGTGGTCTGATAGGTCGCATAAAATGGTACCACATTGTATAATATTTTCTGGATGATTTGTAAACAAAATGTCTATAGTGGATTTTTTTGTATTACTGATTCTTGTAGGAACTGTGATCATGGATTTGAGGTTGTAACATGTCACAAGTTGGTTCAATTGAATTTTATTTATACTGCTAACTTCTGGTGATAAGTCAATATTTAGATCTCCCAAAAGATAAACAAATTTATTTTCATTACTAGTTATTTGTAAAACTTGTTCTAATTCTTTAAAATATTGTTTAATTTCGTATATTGGAGGTCGATAACTAACCATCACAATTGAATTTTTAGATTTAAAATTGTTAATGATCTCTATTGCAAACATTTCAAACTTTGGCGAGCCAATGGTATTTAAATCATCTCTTATTCGAAAGGTAGAATCATTACAGACATAGAAACCAACCCCTCCACCGTTTTTGTCATGACGATTTTTGCCTACATATCTATATTCATCCATGCCAACCAAACTTTCAGTACGTTCGTTTAACCAGCTTTCTGTTATCGCAACTACATTGAATTTGATGTGACTGTTTGACAAATAGCTTTCTAATTCATTGGTTTTGTTGACCAAACTTCTTATGTTCAAATGCATTAAGTTGAAAAACATACTGCTATCAAGATCTTTATTTATTAATTTATATTCATTATTCAACGTCTTAAAATTGTCATACCTTTTACATGTAGTTTGCTTGGGGTTTAAATTGTCTTTTTCTTCATCATCACTGCTGTCCTCATCATTATCAACATGTTATCCATCTTATTTGTTTGATCGACAATTGTTTCTGGTTTCTTATTGAATTGCCACTCGCGTACTATAATGGGCTGAGGCATTATGTCAGGGTCTTTCATTTTCTTAGAATCAGAGCTATCGATGCAAACTCTAAACGTACTGGATTCTTCTTCATCTGTTTTTTTATTC